TTCCTGGATATTTTATGGGAAAGCAAAACATCCAATTTAATAACGGAGAAAAAGGTAAATGGATTATTAAATAATAAAAAAGGATTTTGAACAACATACACAAAAAATAACCTGGTGTGGAATTTTGAAAGTGTATACAGATTGGATCGAGAACAAAAGGTATATATTGGGATGTGTTGTTGGAGGGAGTGGGGAAACGTGGGATAAAGGTGAAAAATGTTGATCACTTTCCCAAAGCCCAATGTGATATGCTCAAATGTGTTGTTCTTGTCCACAACCCCAAAATATTCAGTTTACGGCCATAGAGGACTAAAGAAACCAGAAAATATTCACATTTGAATTATAAATTAAATTGGCAGTTCATTTAATAGTTGACAACTAATCAATTAATCGACTAATTGTTGCAGCTGAAGGGAATTTTCAATGTTCATTAAAGCTGTTAAACATGTATTGCTGTAATAAATGCAATAAATGCATGTCAAACCTTTACATGAGGTTCTGACGGCAATCTAAAATATCCAAATTCCTGATTCTCGTCATGCTATACCTTTATAAATTCCATTCCATCCTCCATGGACCTCCCCTCTGGTAGAGATTTCCTCTAGGTGAGCCCCCTGGTCCGAAGTCAGATAAACCAGAGTGTTTTCTCCCAGGTTGAGTCCGTCCAGAGTCTGCATGATCTGACCTAAAAATAAGACACAATATACAGTGCAGTCTGTAAATGTTTTGACACATTTCCGTTGTTCTGTACTCCAGTACACTGAAACTCAAACAATGACTCTCCTAAGTTTAAAGGAGAGGTTCACATTTAATTTTCAAATCTGCCTTACAACAATACTCACACAATAATACAACAAATAATATGTACACTGAAAGTTATTGGTAACTGTTCCTGTTAACACTGGAACCCAATTTACATCTATAATGTTCCTGATAGATATGTGATACTTACAGAGATGGGCAGTATTTCAATTATATGTACTTTTTTAATGACTTTTGAGTATTTTGTAATGTGTATTTTGCTGAGCAGACATACTGTAATTTCTCACGAAATACTTTAAGAGCTTGTACGTGTGTAATTGAAATACCTAAAAAACGTTATTTAATATATTATTTTATACTTAAATAAACACATTTTATCAAAACAATTAGCATCTCTGGAAGTGAACCATGTGATGTCCTGTTGGGCCTAAAATGTGTTATGAGTTTGTATAGAATTTATGGAATGTATTTTCAATTACTTCTATTTTAATGAATTACATTTTCTCATATCAGTATTTTGTTTTATTTTTATATAGTTTATGAGCAAGTATTTGTAATTCGTAACAAGATTTATGTATTTTTGCCCAACTCTACCTAAACGATAATTATAGAATTATGCTGTAAAAAAAACATAAGACAAGAAAATCTAATTACTATTTAAAATATCAGCAATTACAATGAACCTTTTATTCCTAATGACAGAAGAGTTCATTGTAGACAGCAAAGGGGTAGAGAGAAGGAAAGACAGCTCAATCCAGGTGAGTTACCCGGGCGCTCCTTAAATTATTTTTTCACCCAAAAATGCAGAGGAAGTCTTTTTTCAACCCCGAGCAGTGTCAGCAGTCTCCCTGGAGCAACCTGTGTGTTGCCTGAAAGGTGAAACTCTGGCTGTTGCTGGTAAAGTTTCAGATGATTCATATTGATATTTTGATCATCTTAGAGCTTCTCCCACCTGGATTCTGGCAGCTGGACAATAAGATCCTTAGGATTCAACAGAGTAATAAAATTGTGTCCACAAGTTAGATTTCACTCAGTTTGTGAGGACGGCCAGCTCTAGGCAGATTTAAACAAGTGCCATACTCCATCCATTTCTGAATGATGGATTTAACTGAACTCCGTGGGATGTCCAGTGAGTTGGAAATCTTTTTGTAGCCATCTCCTGACTTGTACTTTTCATTGATCTTTTCTCTGAGTTGCTTTGAGTGTTCTTTTTTCTTCATGTTGCAACTGTAGTAGGAATACTGATGAACCAGAGTCTGGACCTCCCAGACACAGGTGTTTTTTATACCACAATCACTTGACACACATCAGCTGAACTCAGGTGATCTCCATTTCACTAATTGTGACACTGCTGGCATCAACTAGCTGGACTTCTGTTGAATTAGGTCAGTCACTTTAAAGGGGGTGAATATTTATGCAATCATCTTCTTTAAAAGAAACAAAAGGGTGAAACATCCAAGGGGGCTGAAAACTTTTTATAGGCATTGTACATCTCCAATACGAAGGAAATTTAGTGCCAAGACAACAGACACATTTTTGATAATAATTAATAATAATGTCTGCTAGTCCTTCATTATTATACGGTTCTGTTGCAGTCATTTGAAATCTGTCTTTGCTCTAATTGCTTTTCAGTCTCAGGGACAGCTGCCCCACGACATGAACACTGGACTCAATGTGGGGGCCTGTTTTCCTAATGAATGTGTAATTAGTATTAGTACTGTGTCAGCACAAAGGGGAGGGTAATAATTGCTTTGTGTTTTGCTTGCTGAATGGGAAAAGAATTGTTACTTCCTTTTCTTCCTGGCTCTTTATTATTTTTTTCACCTTGCAGCTATTCGATCTTGAGCCATCACCCAGAGCTGCAACAGTAGTTAAAAGGAATTATGTCCTGTGGGGTTGAAATGTTCAAGAGTTGTGCACTTTTGAGTTTTGACCACAGCTAACCTCACATACATGTGAAGACTGTAGCATGGTTGTTAAGAGTCTTAAAATCCTGCTTGCTGTGCATTCTAGCAGTTGCTGTATGCTCCATGTACACTCTGTGAAGTACAGCACAATTCAAGGATTTACGGATATTTTATTGTCATTCACAACAGGTTTGTAGAATTAAATTTAGATCTAGTTCCTTTTATGTTGCCTCCAAAAAACAAAACAAAAACTGAAAAATTGATCGAGTCAAAAAAATTTGTTATTAATTTGCATAATGAATTGTTGTGGTAGAATTCAACAGCCTCACCGCCTGGGGGAAGAAGCTGCTCTATAGTCTGGTGGCACGACAGCGGAAGCTTCTGTACCTCATCTCAAATGGCAGCAAGGTGAACAGGCTGTGGCCAGGGTGGGTTCTGTCGTTTAGTATATTTTGGGCTCTGCATAGGCACCTCACCTCCCCAATATCACTGGCTGGGTAGTTGAGTACTAATGATCTTCTGAGCGGTTTTAATTACCAGCTGCAGTGTCCTCATGTCCTGGGCTGTGCACATCCCATGCCAGTTTGTGATTTTTCCAGTCAACATGCTTTCTTTGTATGCTTCCTATTGCTCCTCTGTAAAAGTTGTGCACTATTGGAAAACACTACACCAAAGTTGGGTGTGATCGTAAATAAAACACTTGAACCGTTGAACCTTTCTACCCATAGAGGTCAGTATAACTTTGCCCTAGGTACCAAACTCAGTGTAGAGTAGCTCCTTAAAGTTGCATTAATAAATTATTTTATATGCAATGGATGAAATGACTACTGTAATGTGCAACAGTGTTGGGAGTTACTTTAAAAAAGTATTATTTGTTACAAAATTGTTAATTGCATTTTTTTTTAAATGAAATGATATTTATGAGCTGTTTTAAAAGATGTATGTCTTGAGTAGGAGCTGAGAGCCACAGACAGGGTAGGGAAGTCAGAATTTATTAAGATATGGATTAACACATTGTTAGTTTTGGTCTTTTCAATGGATTTGTTAACAATTATAAAAATATAAATACACTTACAACAGATTTATACATTAAATGAAGCAGACTCTGCTCACTCACCTACACTCCAGTCAACTTCATGGACAGCGTCTCCATAGATGCCGTGGTGGCTCGTTCCTCTGAATGCTGCCGAAGCAAACATGGCTGTGTGCACTTGGAGAAAAGAGACAAACAGCAGGAAAGGCCTTGCTGAGTTCCTGAAGTAACAGAAAATACAGTTTAATTACCAGCATTACCAGCAAATATAACAGGACAGACAGGACAGCAATTTACAGTAACAGCTTTTTTTATTTTCTTTCTCCTTAATGCATGTTCTCTAAAGTGTTATGTGTAGCAAAGCATTAGGAAACAATTTTGACCATTAAAGAAGACCATCAACAAAACAAAGTTTTCTGATCAGGAAAGCTGACATGTACCTCTCTATAAAGTCCACTGCCTCATGAGTCATCCTCTGAGTCAGGTTTTCCGATGTGAACGGTTGCTCCACAACTCTGTGGTCCCTCATGAGAACACAGTTGAAGTATGGAATAACCATTATGAATCCTGCTAACAGACCTGTTACCATCACCAACAGGGACAGCAGGCTCAGAATTGTCCATCTGCGGATGGTGATAAAGCCACTGTAGTGGAGTAAGGCTGCAGTGACCAAGACAATGGCCAGTGTCCTCCATGGCAAATATTTATGGAACTGGAACACGGTGCCATGTCCTGGCTGGCAGTCCCGCATGTTGGTCAAGGGGATACCAAAGAAATAGTTAAAGCCGTGGATACTGGGGTGGTGGCAATGGTCGTCACTGCTCTTACAGTTAAGTCCTAGGTGCCATTTTCCTGTGAACAAGAAAAAAAGACAGAAAAAAATGAAAATTAAAGTATTCAAAGAAAAAACATCCGTCATTTTAAGAGTAACAGCTAAAGGCACAAACATTTAGAAAATTTCTGTGCCACAGAGTTGATGTAGGGTGAAATTTGATCCTGAGTCTCAAGTCTTAGCCCACTGTTTCTCTTTGATCCCCCAAGTTAGCGTTCTTGCGCATTTCCCAAAAAGAACAACTTTGGATTTCTCAACAAATGGTACCAATGTATGTTTCAATAAGAAAGACCAACAATTATAAAGTTGTTTAGCATGGCAAGATAAAAAAAAGTAAGTAAGTCGTCTTCCATACATGATGATCATTTAGTAAAATATGGTCCCATTTAGAGAAAATATAGACAATTAAGCAGGGTATGCTTTAGGGCATGGCTACCTTGTGATTGACAAGTCATTTTCAGTGAATCCATACAGCGCAAAAGCAGAAAGCTCAGATCAAATTGTTAAACTAGGCAGTGCTGATCAAGTGTGAATCAAGATTCACTGCATGGCCTTTTTCTCAACTCAGAAACATAAAAATATTTTAGTGTAGAGTTTATCTGCAAAAGTGTGTGACTGGGCAAGCCAACATTGTTTCCTGCTACTGACAAGTTGAAACCAAGTGCAGCCAATGAGAGAAGCTCAACTCGCCATACATCACTGCCACTGGCTGCAAAAAGCCAGCATGCGAACGGCCATAATGCCGAACTAAAGGCTTCAAACTGGTACTCCATAAACCAATGTGTGATGTCATGGTAAGTTCACACAGAAATATTAAGATATAATTTAAGATTTTAACTATATAAAATCTAAATATTCCAAATTTAGAGTATAAATGCACACTTAACTTGTAAAATTAAGGATAATTGCTGCTTACCAATAAGAGCCGTCTCATAGCCTTGTTCTTTGGCAATCTTGGCAAAGGTAACCTCTTGGCTGGGAAGACCTCCGGAGGCTGCATTCAATATAAAGACACCAGGTCTGCCAACACCAGCTATACCTGTTATAAAGAAAAATAAAGGAAAAAAACATTTAAATCACATAACACTTTAGAGCTGTCACTTTCTATTTGAAAGTCAAACTACTACGCGAGTGTAGAAAAAAATCTGATCTCTAGTAAGAGTTAGGGAATACAGTGTACTGTATGTGGACAGACTGTTCACTAGGGGCGCCTGGATAGCTCATCTGGTAGAACTGGTGCCCCATGTGCCTGGGGTTAGAATCTGAGCTGTGGCCCTTTGCTGCGTGT